TATTTTGGGGGCGCCAGAGCTGGATGCAGTACTCCAGGTGGGGTCTCACGAGAGCGGAGTAAAGGGGCAGAATCACCTCCCTCGACCTGCTGGGAGGTGATTCTGCCCCTTTACTTCACTCTTGTGAGAAAACTACTACTACAAAAAGTAGTAATAAAAACAATCCTATAAAAGATCTAAAAGACTTTGTAGTAATAAAGACTTGCTGGTGGTGTACTCCCAACTGCGTTTGTCTTGTGTGTCTTAGATTACTGGGATAATTTAAAGTACTTGCTGTTGTACAGAATGATGAGCAAATGTATTTGACTGCGGAAGTTTAGCTACTGCTCGGATGCAAACAGTCAGAAAGGTGGAAAATGATGGCGTCATCCAAAGGAGTTTTTACAAGCGTAACTGTAGGGAAGCCTTACTGCCTCCTAACCCAAGCTATCCCTTTTCTTATGCTAGGGTATCCCTGTGCTTGACAAATTCTTTGAGTTAATCTTTTTATCTATTTTTTCCTTGCTGATCTGACTTCTTGCAAAGTATATCCCAGTAGCTGTTCTTTCTTATTTTCAGTGGTACACGCCTGAGGCCAGTCTGCAGTTCAAAGAGCACTTCCATGCACAGGTCAGGACTGCTTGCCAGCAGAGCACTGGAACAACCGGGTGAGTTTGTAATAAACCAAGCATGCAATGAAGAAAGTATTTTAAGCTCTTTATAGCCTGCTTCCTTCATAGACTTTTCCTTCCTCATTCCTCATCTTCCTTACTCCAGCATGTTTCAAGGCAGCTAGGGCCATGCACATGGCAGTTCTCTGACGTGTTTGACAGTAAATAAATAAAGCGCCTCTTCTTCCCATAAGCATCAAAGATAATTTTTCTGCTGACATAAGTAGCATGAGAAAATAGCAGTGTGGTTTGGCAACAAATAGTCATTTAGCAATTCTGAACTAAAATCTTAGTTCAAAAGATTAATTGACTGTTTAAAATTAGTGCTGAATTTTGCACATGCAAGTCAGTATGGCAAAAAAATTCTAGAGCAGTTACAAGGCATAGGGTACATCTAGCCTTGCTATATTGTCTGTTGGTGTTCCAAATGAGCAGTTAATAAAGGCTTTGGGGAGGATATAAACATACAGCAGTTCTAGGTTGCTTGAAATACTGAAGAATCTTGCTTTAGTCTTTTAGAATGCTGATTAAAATTAAAATGTTTGCTTGAAGTGTAGCAAAATTGTAGTAAATGTATAGCATTGAAAAATCAAAATAAACTGTTTTATGCCCTTGCAATATTCTTGAAGTTGTTTTTTTCACATGATCTTTCTTCCAGAACTATTACTTGTACTGATTTAATTTCTGAAGCAAGGCAAGAAAGCTAAACGTGTTAGAAATCATCGCTATTCATTTCAAATAAATATCTGTATGTTTTAGTGATAAATGCTTCATAAAGTGGAGCTTCTATGAATACTGACAATTAGCTCACTATTGTTTCAAATCTAGAGTTGTTGATTACTATGAGACTAGTCATGATATTCATCTTTAAATGAAACATTTTATTCATTTCACTAGCAAGTCTTGCAAAAAAAAAATTGAAGTCAAAGTATGTGTCAGCAGCTTAGGAGCCCATGGCCACCCAATTAGTGTTGACTGGCCCACAAAATGCCTTCTTTTTTTCTGAAATATTAGTCATGCAGCTTACCAGTCAAGATTTGGACTATTTAGAATAGATAACTTGGACTCAGCATCACATGGAAGCCTGATATAACCAGAAATAGTATTCAATAAAAGATTAATTCATTTTTTTAAAAAGCCATTCCTTGATAAAAAATTAAGTTAAACCTCTTAAGCCATGTTTGTAGCATGTGCATGGGAGATGTCAATCCAAGTTTAGGTCAACAAATACACTTGCATTTGCTTATCCACCTGTATCTCTTAAAAGATACGCTACATTTCAATTTTAAGAATGCAGGCTGAGTCACCTAAAGCCCATCTGCTGTATTCTGTGGGAGGACCCAGAGCAAAGAAGATTATTTGCATGAAGCCAGCTTCAGATTAATAATATTCCAGGTAGTCAGAAAACCTATTGTCTCCAACCAGAAATAACTTCTGCAGTGAGTTATATTTTATTATCAGTAGCTTCTTGTTTCTGAACTTAGGACTTGATTTGTACTATTAAGGTCAATGAGAAACTTTGATTAATTTTGATGGAAAGGATGCAGGTACTCTATGGCCTTATGTGCAAACTGACAAATGTATATATTTGTAGTCAAAACAATTTTAATAGAATAGAATTTATGTCCCACTGGATTGTATTTAAAAAAAAAATATGTACAGTCAGAAACAGATTATTTCTGCTCCAGAGGTTTGGGGGTTTTTTTGTGACCGTCTCTTTCTTACAATTTAAGACTGATCCTGCAGCACAGTGCCATTTAGGTAAATTAGAGTCACAGGTACATGTGCTCATCACTTGCAATTTAAGGATCTAAATCAGAATTTTTAGAGAATCTTGAAATTTCTACTAAAAACATGTAATGTTTTCAAATGTTTATAACAGGTTGAAAATATCCAAAGTGGTTGTGGTAGGAGACGCGTATGTTGGGAAAACTAGCCTTATCAACAGGTACAGTACATCTCAGCTGATGGTTGGATTCTGCTCTTTCTCAAATAAATGTTATAATGTTTCCATTCCTGTCCATTCAGGGTAGTAGAATCATAGAATGGTAAGGGTTGGAAGGGACCTTAAAGATCATCTGGTTCCAACCTGCCTGTCATGGGCTGGGACATCTTCCACTAGACCAGGTTGCTCAGAGCTCCATCCAACCTGGCCTTGAACACTGCCAGGGAGGGGGCAGCCACAGCTGCTCTGGGCC